CCCCCACCCCCACCCCAGGGATGGAGCTGGCATCATGTGCCTGACCTTCTGGTTCACAGGTCGATGCTCAACCACTGAGCCACCGGGCAAGACCTTATTTTCAAACAAGTCACATTCGCAGGCACCAGGGGTTAGGACTTCACCCTATCTTTTTGGGGGGCGGGGGGCACAGATGAACCCTCAACACTTCTCAGAAATCTCGAGACCGGGCCTGGCATGGGGACGGGTGGGCCTGAGTGTGCAGGCCCCTCTGCTTCGTTGCAAAGTGCAGCCTTGACCACGAGAGGCCTGGAAAGTACATCCAAGTCCCCACCAGGGGGCACCCCTTGACCGGAGAATGGCAACCGGACCTGTTTGTTTTATGCACTTCCCTTGTGAATCTCTTCCTTAGCTTGCTTTCCTTCAGGAGGATCGGAAAATGCGATAGCCCAGAGAGATTGGAGGGTTTTCTGATTTCCCATTCAGAGAGGTCCGAGCAGCTTTAAAACTCATTTTTCCGCTTATGGAGCGAAAGGGTGGGAGTCGGCCTGTGCAGGTAGATTATTGGGGAGTGGGGGGGGGGGAGAGGCACCTCAGCATCCTTACAGGAAGACCCAGTGTTGGGAAGCTGAAGAGCCAGGCCCCTCCCACTGAATCTAAGATTTAAATGAGATCACAAACCAAAAATTAAGTTGAGCCCGGGATGGGAGTCTCCCACACAAAAAATATGGACAGCGTAAAATTCCATAGTCTCTTTCTTTCTTTTTATTATTGGCTAGAGGCCCGGTGCACAAAATTCGTGCATGAGTAGGGTCCCTAAGCCTGGCCAGCGATCAGGGCTGATCTGTGGGGTGACCAGCGGGGCGATGGGGGGCCCCCGTACCCCCCACCGGCACCCATCTTGGCTGGCCTGGGGCCTGCAGGATGGAGGCAGCTCCTGCGTTAAGCGTCTGCCCCCTGGTGGTCAGTGCCCATCATAGCAACCGGTCGTTCTGTCGTTTGGTCGATTTGCATATTAGGCTTTTATTATATAGGATTTCAGAGAGGGAGGGAGAGGGAGACCTCCGTGTCTTCGTCTACACACTGGGATGCTCCCTCCCTCCTGAGTCTGGTGTAAGGACGAGGGGTTTATAACACAGGCCCAGCACCCAGTTCTGTTTCTAGTGTTGATTAAGGGGCCGATGACATCACACTAGCATCAGGGGGCACTTCAAAATGGTTCGATCACCGTCTTTCTACAAGGACACGGTGGCGTATTAAAGACCCGCTTTAAATGTCTCATAAATCAACAAGTTGAAAATGAAGCTCATGACCTCTCATTAAATCCATCTTACATCGGGAGGTGCTGAGTTTTACTTCACTCATCCACTCAGTCAGCAACCACTTAATTAAGGAGGGCTTACTATTTTAGGCAAGGGGATCGCGCAGAGAGTAAGACAGGGGCAGAGTTTATGGTCTAGAAGGGGAGCAGACAACGTAAAAATAACCAATATATGTGTTAGATGGTGTTTAATGCTGTGTATGTGTGTGTGGTGGGGGGGGGGGCAAATTAGTGATGGGGAAGAGAGGGTTATGTGTGTTTTTTTTGTTGATTTTTTGTGTGTGTGTGTGTGTGTGTGTGTGTGTGTGTGTATGTTGTTTTTTTAATAAAAGGCCTCACTGACAAGGTGCCCCAAAAGCAGAAATCATGCAGGCTGCGAGCACAGTCCAGTAGGTGCCAGGGCTGTGGGCAAGCTGGGTGGTTGAGCGTCGACCTATGAACCAGGAGATCATGGTTCAATTCCCAATCAGGGCAACATGCCCAGGTTGTGGGCTCTTTTAAAAAGAAAATAAAAGAACCCTGACCAGTGTGGTGCAGCAGATAGAGCGTTGGCCTACGGACTGAAGGGTCCCAGGTTCGATTCCAGTCAAGGGCATGTACCTTGATTGCGGGCACATCCCCAGAAGGAGGTGTGCAGGAGGCAGCTGATTGGTGTTTCTCTCTCATCGATGTTTCTAACTCTCTCTCCTTCTCCCTTCCTCTCTAAAAAAATCCATAAAATATATTTTTTTTAAAAAGAAAATAAAAGAAAACCTGTATGACCAGAGCCAGGAGAGTAAAGGGGGGGCGGGTAGTGGAAGAGAGAAGTCAGAGGGAGGCAGACCATGAGGATCTTACAAGGGAGATGAGGCATCTTGATCAGAGTCTCATGATGGGACTTACATTACACACACACACACACACACACACACACCTCCCACACGGACTGCTGGAAGAGAGAAATGTCCTTTGTTGTTGTTCTGTGTTTACATGGCAATGGGATCCCTCCAGCAGCGGCTGGGAAAGGTGGTTGTGGGGTTTTTCTCATATTCGTATGAGGAAACTAGGGTCTGGGTGGAGGAGAGAAGCCACTGTTTATAGAAGCTTGGGCAAGAGAGGAATGCCAGCTGAAACCGGTTTGGCTCAATGGATAGAGCGTCAGCCTGTAGACTAAAGGGTCCCGGGTTCGATTCCGGTCAAGGGCTTGTACCTTGGTTGCAGGCACGGTCCCAGTGGGGAGGGTGCAGGAGGCAGCTGGCCGATGTTTCTAACTCTCTCTCCCCATTTCTCTCTGTAAAAAAAAAAAAAAAATCCATAAAATGTATTTAAAGAGAGAGAGAGAGAGAGAGAGAGAGAGAGAGAGAGAGAGAGGAATTCCACACACACGAGCTTCCAAGGTATTTAGATGCACAGACCGTGCTGTGGGTTAGTGTCAGCAGGCAGCAGCTCACTCTGAGCTGAGAGGTAACAAGAGGTAATGAAAGGATCAAGCTGTGAGGAGAAAGAGAGAGAGAGCGCACCAATATTTCCTTTTCGAGTCGACACATTTGGCTCTTGTATTTGCACACTAAATGATTTCTTTGGGTGGCCTTTCCAAGACAAACAGTCCTTCCCAGAGGCCTGTACCGTCTTTGTTTTCCACGGGAGAGAAAAGCGCTCTCTGCTTTGAAGCAGCAGCTGCGTTTTCCTTTCCGTCACCCTGTCCAGGTTTCCGAGATCTCGGGGTCCGGTTTCGGTCAGTGACCCCAGCGAGAGATCGCTGTCACCCAGGGCGGCCTTTGGTATCCGAAGACGTTTCTGGAAGGAAGAAAAGCTTAGGTCTAAAGAACGGGGTCGCGGTCTCTTTCTTCTGAAATTGTTTTCGCCGGAATCGGTCTGCCTTGCTCAGGAGCGTATGCCAAACCAAAGGTGCAGGAAGCCAAATAAGAAAGCAACAGACTGCCCTAGCCGGTTTGGCTCCGTGGATGTGAATAGAGCCTCGGCCTGCGGACTCAGGGGTCCCGGGTTCGATTCCGGTCAAGGGCATATACCTTGGCTGCAGGCACATCCCCTGCAGGGAGGCTGCGCCGGAGGCAGCTGATGGATGCTTCTCTCTCATTGATGTTCCTGACTCTCTATCCCTCTCCCATCCTCTCTGTAAAAAAATAAAAAAATAAAAAATAAAAAATATTTTTAAAAAAGAAAGCAATAGAGGAGGAACAGCGTCAGATAAGATCTGATGGAACCCAATGGACTTGGGATGGGGTGGGGGAGTACTTCCTGGCATTTCCCCAAGGTCCACGTGGACCGGGAGCTCAGCCAAGGCCTATTTTTAGTCTCCTGCTGTGTCTTTTGAACACGGCTGGGTCGTAGGAGCTATGACGTGGCCCTGCTCCTGCTCCCAACCAAAATGTCCTTCGCCACAAGAGCTCCTTTCTCCATTTCCAACGCAAGGGGACTCTGAATTCCTCCCCGGACCCCTGATCGTAGAAATGCGTCCCAGCCGAGGGCCAGGGGTGCCTCCTGCCGCTGAGCCATGCTGTCCACAGCGGGACACCGAGGGGCAGGGCCTGCAGGCTGCGGGGACGCTGCTGCACAGACAGGGACCCCCTTCAGCTTCGGTCAGGGTGGCCCAGATCCAGAGGGGCCCGACCTGGGGGTGCAGAGCGGAGGGCCGGCATGCAGCCCAGGGCTGGCCTCCTGGTGGCACATTCACCCCGTCCCCGGGGTGGCTCATGACAGCCAGAGAAAGATCTTTTCAGGCTGAGAGCCGCACGGGATGAGATCATGGGCTGCCTGATGCTCATGCATCCAGCCAAAACCAGTTTGGCTCCGTAGATAGAGCATCCGCCTGTGGACTCATGGGTCCCAGGTTCGATTCCGGTCAAGGGCACATCCCCGGTGGGGAGTGTGCAAGAGGCAGCTGATGGATGTTTCTCTCTCATCGATGTTTCTGGCTCTCTATCCCTCTCCCTTCCTCTCTGTAAAAAATCAATAAAATATATTTTTTTTAAAACTAAAAACCCCGCATCCAGAGTCCCAACAGCTGCTAGAGGGATCCCATTAACATGGAAACAAACACACAACAACAAAGAGACGGCGGCGGCGGCGGCCTCTTCATTGACTGACTCCTCCCGGGGTAGGCACTCGGCTTCCTCTTGCCAAAAGCTGAACCCCAAAGCCCCCTCCCACCCAGCCCCCATCACCCGCGGGGGGCCGTCCCGCCCTCCCTGAAGCCAGCCTGCCGCCCGGACTGCGTGCGCATGCGCAACCGCAGGGGGCGGGGCCTCGCGCGCTCCTGTGGCCCCTCCCCTTCATCTTCCCGGCGCGGAGCGGAGTGCGCCTGCGCGACCGCGGGGCGGGGCGGGGCCTCGCACACCCTCTCGCCCCTCCCCTCCCTGTGCCGGGGCCCCATCCCGCCGGCGTGGAGCAGAGTGCGCCTGCGCGGCTGCGGCGTGGGCGGGGCCTCGCTCCCTTTAGCCCCTCCCCTCCCTGCGCCAGGGCCCCATCCCGCCGGCGCGGAGCCGAGTGCGCCTGCGCAGAGGAGCCGGCAGTCCCGCTGGGCCGCAGCGGCGGGTGGCGGCCGGTTGCCTTGGGGACCGCGGGCCCCTCCCTCCTCGGTCCCCGCCCCACGGCGTTCGCCGCCACCGCGACGCGGCGGACGACCCCGGCCTCCCCGCCCTCCTCCCGCCGCCCGGCCGGCGCTGCAGCCGTGACCCCGAGAGGCGGCGCCGCGCCCAAGATGTCGCAGACGGCCATGTCCGAGACCTACGGTAGGCGGCGGGCGGGGGCGCGGGCCCGAGGGCGGGCGCGGTCCGCTGCCCACGTTCCCGCCTCCCCTCCGGTCCGGGCTCCTGGCCCGGGTTCGGGGCGGCAGTGGCCCCGGGGGGGGGGGCGATGGCGGGGCTGGGGGCGGCCCAGCCGGAGCCCCGCCCGGTCGGCGATGCCTGCGGAGCCCGCTTCTCTCCCCCCCTCCGGGTTTTGGAGCCGCTGCGGGGTCGCTGTGTGTGAAGGCGGCTTTTTAAGCCGGGGCACCGTCCTGGGCGTGTGCGTGTGTGTGGTGTGTGTGATGTGTGTGTGTGATGTGTGTGTGATGTGTGTGTGTGTGTGTGATGTGTGTGTGATGTGTGTGTGATGTGTGTGATGTGTGTGATGTGTGATGTGTGTGTGCGTGTGTGTGTGAGTGTGTGTGTGTGTGATGTGCGTGTGTGTGTGATGTGCGTGTGTGTGTGATGTGTGTGTGATGTGTGTGATGTGTGCGTGTGTGTGTGTGATGTGTGTGTGTGATGTGCGTGTGTGTGTGTGTGAGCGTGTGTGTGTGTGTGTGTGTGTGAGCGTGTGTGTGTGTGTGTGTGATGTGATGAGCGCCCCCCTCCTCCGGCCCATATGCGGGTGCTCCCGCCCGGCCCGGCCCTCCAGCCGCTCTGGGGCCTCCGCGTCCTCCGCGGGTCGCCAGCCCCGAACCCCCGCCCGCAGGTGGGCGCATCCGGGCGGGGCCTGGCGAGTTTTGATCCGGAGCTTCTGCAGCCCCGGCCCCACTCGTGCCTCCTCCGCGGGTGCTGGCGCCGCTCCTCCCCCCGCCCGGGAGCGGGGCTCCGGGTTGTTGGGGTCCGCTGTCTAGTTGTGGGGGAAGGGGGGCCGGGAAAGTGGGGGGACACGGTGTTCGTCCAGTTACTACGACTCTGATGAGTGTGGTTCAAGGCCTGGCAGGCCCTCTGAAGGAATGCGGTCTGTGCAAGGGCATTACAAAGAAACGCAACCCGGACAGACAGCCCTGACCCAGCCTGGGGGGAGCAGGGGGCCCCCCAAGACCCGAACCAGCCAGCACAGCAGATGCACATGCCCAGGCCCTGAGAGAGGGAGGTCTCCTAACCCAGGGTCGGCACACTCATTCGCCCACGGAGCCGAATACCAACAGCACAACGATGGACATGTCTCTGGAGAGCCACGTTTTTTAAACTTAATCTCCTGACGCCACGTCTCCAACACAGACTCGCCCAGACCGTGGTATTCTGTGGAAGAGCCACCCTCCAGGGGCCAGAGAGCCGCAGGTTGCCGACCATGGCCCTAGGGGAGGGAGGGTGGTGTAGGCCTTGGGGGGGGGGGGGCTGGGGAGGAGGGCAGGGGTGAGGCAGAGAGGACCCCAACAGGCCAGGGTGCGCTGGCTCCTGGGGTGGGTGCGTGCTTGGTGGCACTGGGGGGCAGGGGGCCTGTTTCTCAGCAGCCTGTGGGGACCCTCCCGGAAGTTGCTGGCGGCCTAAGGACCCCGCATTGTCAAAGGTGCGGAGGCTTTTACGTGGCACCCACGTGGGCCCGAACCCCAGCCCCATTTCCTAAAGCAGATTTCTCTAGCGGTTTGGGGTCACACTCTTGCTTTCCTTTATTTTCCAGCGCCCCTGGCCCCACCACCCCTCTCTCTTTAGCCTGGGGGAGGCTAAGGGGGGGTGTCAGCAGGGACGGGCTGGAGGGTGCAGGAAGGGGCGCCGGGGCGTCGGGTTCGCCTTCTGTGGATGGTAACCTTGAGGTTCGGCGTGCCTGGCGCATCCCTGCCGGCCTTCGGAGCTCCTTGAACTCACGAGCAGCACCGTGACCGCTGAGGCTCCGATCACAAGGCTTCCATTGTTAGGGAGCTTGCTTCGTGGCACCTTCCGGGCGGGCTTTTCCTCTTTACCAGCGCGTTTAACCTTTTCCTGGAAGGGAGGAAACCACTCGAAAGTTCGCGTTAGAAAGCGCAAGTGTGGCCGTTGAAAGTGAAAGCCTGGAGGTGGAAATCACGCCCAGCCGCGTCCCACCACCGTCCCCTTCCCCGCCGCTGGCCTGTGCCCGGCATCCTTCCCGCCAGGAAAGCAGGGCCTCCTTCCCGAGTCCGTCTGCAGCAGCTGCCGAAAGAAATGTTTGCCTACCGTTCGCCTCCTTTCTGCTGCAGGCGCCCTGTCTGTCTTCTGGAAACGGCGCTGGGTGCCTCGCCCGGGATAAATGAGAAATAAAGAGCCCCCTCTCCCTGCCGCTGCCCAGTTAAAGCAGTACTTCCCCTTCCCAGGCTGATGGTGGTCAGCCTCTGGAGCTCAGAAGCCACTAACCACAGCATAGACTTCACACAACAGTGTGATACAAGTTTGCAACCACTGCGTAGACTTGACACGATAGTGTGATACAAGTTTGCAATCTTAAGAGCGTAGGTTTCAGATAGAGACCTTGCCTCTGGCTAATCCTAAACTGACTGTTCCCAAATGTTCCATTCGCCCCATTCTTAAAGGCCTGCGGGTTCGTGCGGGGGAGGCCTGCCCGGGAGCTCCCGCCGGCTGAGACGGGGTCGCAGATGGACTTTTAAGTCCTTTCTGGCTGGTGTGGCTCAGCGGCTCGGCCTGCGGACTGAAGGGTCCCAGGTTCGATTCCCGGTCGGGGCACATGCTCCGGCTGCCGGCTCCATCCCCACCAGGCGGCGTGCAAGAGGCAACCATTCAATATTCTTTCTCACCAGCGGTGTTTCTATCTCACTCTCTCTCTTCCTTCCTCTCTGAAATCGATCTTATCTATAATAATAGAAGCATAATATGCTAATTAGCCCAGGCGTCCTTCCAGACGACCTTCCGGTTGAAGCTGGGCTTCAAGGGAAGCCCGGTACCGGGTGCCAGAGGGAAGCTGATGCGGGGGGGGGGGGGGGGGGGGGAGCCTGCTCTTGCATGAGTTTCGTGCATCGGGCCTCCAGTAAAAATATGTTTTAAAATAAATAAAGTTGTTTCTGATACCAAGAGTTGTGAGGTAGACCAACAAATCCAATAGGTGTTACCAAGCCAGGATGCTGAGAAGGGAGCTGCAAAGGATAAATACTGCAGCCCTGGCAGGTGTGGCTCAGTTGGTTGGGCATCCACAGCCGCACCAAAAGGTCGCTGGTTCGATTCCCGGTCAGGGTACAGGCCTGGGTTGTGGGCTCCATCCCCAGGAAGGGACGTGCAGGAGGCAGCCGATCCGTGATTCTCTCACATCAATGTTTCTCTCCCTCTCCCTTCTCTCTCTAGAATTTATTAAAAATATATTTTTTATCTGAAACCAGTGTGGCTCAGTGGATAGAGCATCAGTCTGCGGACTGAAGGGTCCCCGGTTTGATTCCGGTCAAGGGCATGTATATTGGTTGTGGGCATATCCCCAGTAGGGGGTGTGCAGGAGGCAGCTGGTCGATGTTTCTCTCATCGACGTTTCTAGCTCTCTATCTCTCTCCCTTCCTCTCTGTAAACAATCAATAAAATATATTTTAAACAAATAAATAAATAGATATTTTTAAAGTATAAGTAGCGCAGAAAATGCTACCAAAAATATTTTAAGGGCTGAGGCAGTTTGATAGGAAAAATCAAGACAAATCTCTACACCGTGGAGTTTTCTACAGTGAAAATTCTTTATGAAACAACACAAATTGTTGGTTCTATGCTAATTATTATTATACTCTATTTTTTTGTGCTTGGTTTTGAACGTATTATAGTATTTGCCATGTGATTTTGAGAATTACTGGGAGTGTGTGTGTGTTTAGAGGCTTTTCCGGATGCACTATGTTCTCCAAAAGACATGCTCAGGTCCTCACCCCGGTCCCTGTGACCGGCCTTGTCTGGCAGGGGGGCTGTGTGGGTTAGGTGGGGTCCTGTAGGATTAGGGGCCCTAACTCAGGGCCTGGTGTCCATATCCACGGGAGGATGTGTCCCAGCAGGTGCGTGGAGAACGGGGTGTGAATTCAGAGCCTGAGATTGGCACCAGGCCGTCAGGTAGCTCTGTGCCTGCCCCGTGCTTCTTCCTTTTACTCCCCTCTGGCCGCCCGGCAGGGTGGAGGGAGGCCCGACCAGCGCCGAGGAGCCCTGGTGGGGGGGGGGGTCACTCCCGAGGCGGCCCTGCACGCACAGGGGGCTCCGGTGTGACAGGCCGAGCGAGCGTGTCTCACTTCCTGCTCCCTCTCGGGGCTGTGTTCCTGGCACTCACAGAGTCTTAAAAAGCAGCCTCACAAAGTGCCGATGGATTATGGATGAGAATGTACTTTAGAGGGAAGTCTGTCGTTTGCGGATGAATTTTTAATCACGCAGCAAAGACATCGGGACGTACCAGCTAAGCATCTCTCCTCTGTTCCCACCACACCATCGCGATCTGCAGTGTCCTCCGTGTGTGTCCTGCTCCTGGTCCATCGCGCTGTGCACGGTTCCCAAACACGGCCTCAGGGAACCCACAGGGCCCTGTGTGATCCCGTGTCCTCTCAGGACAGAATAGGGCCCCGCAGGGCAGGTGCGCAGGGAACCCCGCGCACAGACACAGCGGGTCCTGTCCGTGCGGTGGGGTCAGCCTCTCCCGTCGGCACAGCATGAACGGGACCGGCAGGAAGGCCCGGTTCGCAGACAGCGTGGCCGCTCTGAGGACGGCCTGGTGCCTGGGGAGAGAATGTGATGATCAGATGGAGGGACAGATGAAAAGACGGGCTCTGGGGCGCCCCTGTGGGCACTGCGCTGAGCCCAGACATGGCCGGGCCCGGGGCTGGCACGTCACTGCGCTGACGGGGGTGTCAGTGAGCGAATCCGGGTCAGCAAACATCCCCACGCCCAGCCTGCAGCAGTGAATAAATATTTGTTTAGTGAACACCTATTCCACAGCAGGCTCACCACCAGCCTGCTGACGACGGGCCCCATGCGGTCAGACATACAGTGCGCTCCACTGCCTGCTGTCTGTGGCCTCCCTTCCCTCTCCTGCCGGCCTCCCAGCCACATGCCCTCCTGCTGCCCACACCTCCTGCCCTCCTCCGCCAGCACGTCAGCAAGGCTGCTGCTGCCTCCGCCCCACAGCCCCGTACCAAGCATTTGTCATGTGAAGCTGACATGTGCAGGTCAGCGTCCGTCCTGTGCTCTGCTAACTCTCACTGGTCACTCCTCATGCAGGTCACCTGGCTCCTAGTCTCAGTGTCCACGCACCTGCTCCCTGAGCTGCTCCATCCGCAGTTCTGACCTCCCCTGACTGCGAGCCCTTGGCCTCCCTTCCAGTGGGAGATGGAGAGGAGGTGCCCGAGTGAAGACGCTCCCGCTCAGCCTGGGACCATCCCTGCCCCGCTGTCCTTCCCCCTTTTCCCCAGGCAGCGCCGTGTCTGCCTCCCAGCACTCTGCCCTCCTCCCCCACAGCCAGCTCCTCAGAGCGTCCCGCCCTCCGTCTGCAGGGCTTCCTTGTTCTGCGGCCGCCTGCGTCCCCCCCCTCCCCAAGGGGGTGTCCCGGATGCTGAGGGTCACTGGATGCGGCAGCCTTTCTGTTTTTTTATTCAGAGGGGAAGGGAGAGGAGAGGGAGAGGGAGAGAAACATCAGTGATGAGAGAGAATCATGGGTCAGCTGCCTCCTGCACGCCCCACACTGGGGATCGAGCCTACAACCTGGACATGTGCCCTGACCGGGAATCGAACCGGTGACCTCCCGGTTCATAGATTGATGCCTAACCACTGAGCCACACCAGCCGGGCAGGACCCTGCTTCTCTTTTCAGGGTCAGAACCGCCTCCCAAGCCTCCACAGTGATGGCTCATGGGTATTTGAGCATAATCTCTCCAAACATGTCGTCATCTGCCGCACAGATTCCTCGTCAGGATCTTTGGTGTGTGTTATCTCCGGGCTGGCATCACAGCCCGGCCGGCTCCCTGAGCCAGAAACCAGGACGCCGCCTCGGCTGCGGCCAGTCCCTGCCGTCAGGGCCACCCGCCTCTGCTTCCGGTCTGGCCTTTAGACCTTAAAGCAAAAGCCTGGGGAGCCGCTGGGAAGGCAGGGGTCAAAGGCCATCGCGGGTGCCAGCTGGGCCTTCATTTCCCTGAGGCCCCGCCCGTTCCCTGCTGTCAGGGGGCATGTGTTGTGCCTGCAGCTCACCCTCCGCTCTGTGCTTTCCATCTGCTCCGCTCTGGGGGGACAGGTCGCCTGCAGGGACCGTCTCCGGAAGGTTTGCATCTTTCCAAACGGATCCTCCCACCACTGCACCCCGCCTCCCCTGCAGCCCCGGGCACCCTCTGCCTCTGCCTGAGTGATGGCCTCCGGGTCCCCGGGGGCGTGGGCTGGCTTGTTCCCGTTAGCACTGAACCGGGACTCACCTGTGTGCGCGCGTGTCAGAACCTCTCTCCTCTCAAGGCTGAGCCATGTGACGTTGTGTGCTTTGTTTCTCGATCCCTCCATGGCCCCTTGCGTTGCTTCCTCTTGAGGCCGCTGGGAACAGTGCTGCTGAGAGCGCGGGGTGGCCCGCTTTTAAAACACGCAACGAGAGCATACACTGCAGCCATTGCGACGGCGCTGTTCTGTCATTGTAGCTGCCTGTCGCCACTTGAAAATCATCTGAGGTTGAATAGACTTAATCTTTGAGCGAGGATAGAGTTCTTCAGAAGCAAGACAAAGCCAACATCACAGAGACACAGACCGGGGGCCACCGGGGAGAGGAGGCGGCGGGCTAGGGGGCTCGGTGGGTTCCGGAAAGGAATGGGGAGGCCAGGGAGGGGGGGAGGGAGGCGGGCGCAGAGAGCAGGGCCACCGGGAGCGGCGGCAGGGGCTGTGGGGTCGGGTCACAGTGGGTGGGGCCGGTTGGCTCGGGCGAGCAGGCCTCGGCTGTTGTGCTAACAGGGAAGGCAAAGGGGTGAGTGCGCAGCGCAGGCCGCCGGCGCTGCGTGAGGCTGCCTGACTCCCGCTCTGGGAGCCCGGAGGCCCGCTTTATGGAAGATAATGCCCGTCGCTGCCGTGCTGCTTAAAGAAGGAACGGAGAGCTCTGTCTGGCCCGGCCGGTGTGGCTCAGTGGTGGAGCATCGGCCTAGGAACCAGGAGGTCACTGTTCGATTCCCGGTCGGGGCACAAGCCCGGGTTGCACGCTCGATCTGCGATTCTCTCTCATCATGGATGTCTCTCTCCCTCTCTCTCCCCCCTCTCTGAAGTCAGTAAAAATAGATGTATATTTTTAACTCCGTAGCACCTGCTTGAAGGTTATTTTTCACGGTCTCTCTGTTTTTCAGATTTCTTGTTTAAGTTCCTGGTTATCGGGAATGCGGGAACTGGCAAGTCGTGCCTGCTCCATCAGTTTATTGAGAAAAAATGTAAGTGACCTTGACCCTCCGCCTGCACGCATGTCTTCCGGGCGCACTCCTGCTCCGCTCCTTTTTTTAAATATATTTTTATTGATTTTTTACCGAGAAAGGGAGAGGGATAGTTAGAAACATCGATGAGAGTCATCGATCAGCTGCCTCCTGCACACCCCCCACTGGGGACGTGCCCGCAACCCGGGTACATGCCCTTGACCGGAATCGAGCCCGGGACCCTTCAGTTCACAGGCCGACGCTCTATCCATTGAGCCACACCGGCCTCGGCGATGTATTCTATTTCATACAAACAACTGTCACCCTACTTCTTGCCCACCTTGTGTGAGACCCCTGGGTGAGGGTGAAAGGAGGGAGAGACAGCGTGGGGAGAGCAGGGGCTGTGCGCGGTGACTCAGACTCTGCGTGCTCATCAGCCCGCTGCCGAGTGATGGCTGCGGGAATGCCGTTCTCTGTTGGTTGACCCTTGACCTCTGTCGCCTGCTTCCTGCAGGCCGGCTTCCTGAGAGTTCTGAAACGGACTGTCTTGTTCTTTTTCTCTTCCAGTCAAAGATGACTCCAACCACACCATAGGAGTGGAGTTTGGTTCGAAGATAATCAATGTCGGTGGCAAATACGTGAAGTTGCAGATATGGGACACGGCCGGCCAGGAGCGGTTCAGGTATGCGCTCTCTCTCTCTCTCTCTCTCTCTCTCTCTCTCTCGGACGCGGTGGGATGTCGGAGGCCGCGTTAGGAATGCTCGGTCACTGTGTCCCGCCCGCAGGTGTCAGGGACTCGCCTTGGAGCTTCAGGAAACAAGCGGAAAGTCAGTGTCTCTCCTGCAGAATCCGTTTCTTTCCTTTCTTTCTTTAATAATATATCTTACTGACGTCAGACAGGGAGGAAGAGGGAGAGAGAAACATCAGTGTGAGAGAGAACCACGAACCAGCTACCTCCTGCACGCCCCCCACTGGGGATGAGCCCACAACCCGGGCCTGTGCCCTGACCGGGAATCGAACCGGGACCTCCTGGTTCACGGGTCGACACTCACCACTGAGCCACACCGGCCGGGCGCAGCATCCATCTCCTAAAGGGTCCGTTGACGTCTGTTCCGAGGCAGCGCACCTGTTAGAGAAGGACTTGTCCCGCCTGTGTGTGTGTGTGTGTGTGTGTGTGTGTCCGCGTTCCTGTGACCGGGTTTCAGACAGAACAGCTCCCCGTGTGTCAGCTGGCTGAACCGCGTCTCCTAACGCGGCGCCTCCTGTTGGCAAAGCCCCGGGGGTGCCTCTGAGCAGGAAGAGGGTGTCGTCAGGTCTCAGGGGGAGTAACCGTGCGCCTCTTCCAGGTCTGTGACCAGAAGCTACTACCGAGGCGCCGCTGGGGCCCTGCTTGTCTACGACATCACCAGGTAACAGCCCCGCCTGGGGGGGGCGCTCACACGGGGAGCTGGGGCCGGTCAGGCTCGGAGTCTCACGTGTCTCTCACGTGTCTCCTTAGACGCTTCCCGAACGCTCTGAGTGCAGCCTTGCCGGCTCAGTTGTTAACAACACGCTTTTTCATGTTTATTGATGTCAGAGAGGAAGGGGGAGGGAGAGAGGGAAACATCCATGATGAGAGATAATCAGGGATCGGCTGCCTCCTGCACGCCCCCTACTGGGGATCAAGCCCACAACCCCAGCTCTTGACCGGAATTGAAGCTGGGGCCCTTCAGTCGGCAGGCCGACGCTCTATCTACTGAGCCACACCGGCCAGGGCTATTAGCAACACTTGGCATGGACCGCGGTTGAGGGCACAGGCGGTGGCTTCGACCGCCTGGCAGCGTGTGGGGTCCTTGTCTGTCACCCGGGGCGGTGGCGAGGGTGTGGGCCCCGTGGGGTGTCTGGGCAGCTCAGTCAGTGACTGCAGGGCTCGGGCACAGCCTGAGGCTCCGCGGCCTCCCTCGCCCACGCCCGGTGCCAAAGGAAGGAGGCCCTTCTCCTCGGGCACCGGCAGGGGCAGACGGAGCAGCAGGCCATTCCCGGAGGCGGCAGTGCGGGCCTGTGGGTGGTGCCCGGCCGCCGGGGGTCGGGGACCTGAGGTGCTGGCGCAGCGTGAGGTGGGGGCGCCCGGACGAGTTGCTAGTTTGTAAAATACATGTATTATCCCCACAATCTTATGTTACGCAGCCGAGAAACCTACAATGCGCTTACTAATTGGTTAACAGATGCCCGAATGCTCGCCAGCCAGAACATCGTCATCATCCTCTGCGGGAACAAGAAGGACCTGGACGCCGACCGGGAAGTGACTTTCTTGGAAGCCTCCAGATTCGCTCAGGAAAATGGCAAGTGACCTTTGACCTGTGGCGGCTGCTCTGATGGCAGGTGTGGGGGTAACGGCACTGCTTTCCGCCTCAAGTAGCCGCTGGGGTTTTACCGGGGGAACTTCATTCAGGAAAAACAGCCCTCCCGGCCGTTCACTGCAGACTGAGGCTGACCCGGCCTGTTCTCCTAGCCCTGCATCTGCCTGTGAAGTTACCATGACGATAAAAGCACACGTGCTCACGTTCTGGGCCGGCTTTCCAGGCCCGGACCTTTAAGCGTTACAGGTCTTGGTTTAAAGTAAAATTGGTAACAAAACCCTGAGAGGCTCTCATTGGGCGATGTCATTGTTTAATGTGGTTTGCCGCTAAGATGGTGAAGTGTCAGATCACATCCATGTTTCTCTCCCTCCCTCCACTCTGTCTGAAAAGCCATGGGAAAAACACACTGGTGAGGATTTTAAAGGGATAGATAGATAGAAAGACATCAGCCATCATGATCTCATAAAGAAGCTGTTGAGAAATATAGAAGCTTTGCCGGGACCGGTTTGGCTCAGTGGATAGAGCGTCGGCCTGCGGACTGAAAGGTCCCGGGTTCGATTCCGGTCAAGGGCATGTGCCTTGGTTGCAGGCACATCCCCAGGTGGGGGTGTGCAGGAGGCAGCTGGTGGATGTTTCTCTCTCATCGATGTTTCTAGCTCTCTATCCCTCTCCCTTCCTCTCTATAAAAAATCAACAAAATATATATATTTTTTAAGAAAATAAGGACGTGGAGGCTTGGGAGGGGGGTTAGATGCCGTCTAAGGCACCTCGTTCCCACGTGCGGAAACATGGCCCCAGGGCTGAGGTTCTGCCGGGCTCCGGCCGCTGTGCGCTGGGCGGGCCGCTCCGGGCAGAAGTGGGAATTCGTGGGAGACCTCGTGGCCAGAAGGACGAGCTGCATGCAGCCCCCAATGTGGACACGTGCACCTTACATCCGGGTGCCGGCAAAGCTCTCCGGAGAAGGAACTTCCCTGTCTGTGTGCACAGCCGGCCGGCAGCCCGCCTGGCCCGCCCCGTGCACCGGCTGCTCCTTCTGCCACAGACGGGGTGCTGGTCCCGGTGCCGGTGCCGCTCAGGAAGGGCAGGCTCCTTCTAACGTTAAAATACATATTGACACTTAGTGGGTTCATCTTACAGAACTAACGGTTTTAGGTAATAAGTGGCAGTCCACCTGCTACCCGGGGGCAGTGGTCAGCAAACTGCTGCTCTGTTGACGAATGAGTTTGCCGACCTGGACTAGACTAAGTGTTCCCGTGTAGCGGGAAGCTGAGAGGATTGGCGTGTGGCACATTGTGTGCAGAGGTAAAGGCAGCACACGACAGTGCCGGCACACTCACTCGTCACCAGCAGCAAACCGGCCACGGCCCCGGGGACACTGAGCAGGTGTGGGACTGAGCCACTGATCGCCTCCTGACGTGGCCGTGCCTGTGTCTCCCGCCCCCTCAGAGCTGATGTTTCTGGAAACCAGCGCGCTGACGGGGGAGAACGTGGAAGAGGCCTTCGTCCAGTGCGCGAGGAAGATCCTGAACAAGATCGAGTCAGGTACCTCCCGGCGGGCTCCCGGGCAGCGCGGGGCCACGGACCGCGGGTGGCCTCCTGTCCGTCATCCGCGCCTGCGTGTCTGTGGGGCGGGCTCCGGGGACCTGCTGGGTCAGGGACCTGAGCCTCTGGGGGGCGGTGAGGCCGCGCCCCCTCCTGCCGGGCAGCTCTCCCGCCCCACATGGGGTGTGGACCAGGGCTCCTGGCACCGAGCCCTGCCTGGGGTGGTCATGCTTGGCATCAGCCTGCCAGCCTGAGAGGCGAAAGGGGTGTCTTCCCAGTTTAATTCCCCATTAACATACCTTGTGTGTGTGCAATAGAGTCACACGAATTCCAAACTCAACACGTGCACAGACAGGGCACAGGGACAGCCCCTCTGTCTGCCCGCCGTCCGCAGGCAGCGCTGTCCCCGCCCCCCTGTGCCGGCAGGCCTTCTCCCTGGCCCCCTCCGGAGAACAGCCTGTGCGAGCACGGGGCTGCCCGTCCTAAGACGCCTGTCCCCCAGGTGAGCTGGACCCCGAGCGGATGGGCTCCGGCATCCAGTACGGGGACGCGGCCCTGAGGCAGCTGCGCTCGCCCCGCCGCGCCCAGGGCCCGGGCGCCCAGGACTGCGGCTGCTAGGCCGCCGCCCAGAGGTGGGTGCCGGACGGTCCCCGCGGGCCGCCCCCCGCCTCCCGCCCCCTGCTCCCCGCACCCTGTCCCCGCCCGGGCCTCCTGCTCCCTATCCCCGCCCAGGGCCTCCCGCACCCTGTCCCCCGCCTCCTGCCCCCTGCTCCCCGCACCCTGTCCCCGCCCGGGCCTCCCGCACCCTGTCCCCCGCCCCCCGGGCTTCCTCCGTGCTCCCCGCAGGGACTGCCACACGCCTTCTGCAGCCACGTGTGGGGAGGAGCGGTGGCTGCATCCTTAAGTGTTAGACATTCTCAGGCGTGGACTCCTCAAGCTCACGAGGGACAGGCCCCAAAACAGACCACGTCTGGGCTGTAAAACGCACGTTAACGTGTTTAAAAGGAAATAACCGTGCAGTGTCTATTCTCTGCCAGTCAGTAATAGAAGGATAACTGGGAAATCCATGATGCATGGAAATCAAACAACATCCTTCTGAAGGACTCGTGGTGAGAGAATCCTAGGCTGCCTCCTGCACAGCCCCCGGGGATGGAGCCCACAGCCCCGGCCTGTGCCTGACTGGCATTGAACTTGACCTCCTGGTTCATAAGTCAACGCTCAGGCACTGAGCCACACCAGCCAGCAAGATTTTAACGTTAAAGCTTCCTCCTCTTTCCCATTTCCCTCGGTGGACTTTTTACAGACAGTCAGCCTTATCCAATAGGCAGACATTAAATAACAGGAGTATTCATCACTCCCTTTGGGGTTTGAGCTGCTTGTGCACTGACAGTTATGCATATTTCTAAGATGTTCTTCCTATTTTTTAGCTGTTTGGACAGCGGTGTTTGGGAAACAATTGCTGGAGCGTGAAGAAGTGTGTGTTATACCACCATCCTTTCCTACTTCGTGCAGAAGTAGATCTTCGTGCGGAAAGGGAAGGGAATGACTGGGCGTTCCCTTAGCCTGGAATGTGCTCAGGAAACCACGTGGTGAATGGGATTCGGTGGACAGTGCCACTGATGTGTACATGTATGTAACTGTCCTGTCCCATGGCTCCCTTCCCGGGGCGAACCCCGGCTATGTACTGTATATACCCCAGCCCCCGAGCCCCGAGCATGGAATCTCATGTATGATATAATAGAAGGTTACACCAATGCGGTCCAATACTTTATTTTTTGTAATCACATGACCGAACGCCTGCTGTGTGGGTGGCTTTGCCATCTCGCCGGCCGTGTCCGTGCGGGTGACGTTCAGACCTGCTCCTTGCGGCGGCGGCCAAGGCAGAGCCGGTTCATTCCATTTGCCGCGTCCACGGGGCCCCGCGGGGAGTGCTGCTCAGTGGTGACTCACGTCCCGAAATAAAGTCCAAATGGAGTTTTCCTACGAGCCCGGCTGTCCGCACTCTGATTTTAAAGCATCTCGTCCGGATCCATCAGGAGGGGGCCCCACCCGGCCCCGGCCCCTCACCAAACGGCTGCTCAGCGGAGGGTGACGGGGGGCTGGCCCCGGGCCGCACGCCCGCCCCGGCCGGGCCGGTCCTCCTGCCGGGACCCGGGCCTCACTGCCGCCTTCCGAGCCGCCCCTGGCCCGTTCCTTGTCGGGAACCACTCAGTCCCGGTGACGTTAAAGCGACGCCACCGAGACCTGTGTGTGCTGAGTGCTCCAAGGCCTGGACCGTCACCGGCCACACGCCGGTCATGCATGAGGGCCACGGAAGCACACGTGTGTGGTGCCGCGAAGACTTGTTCTCCTGTAACCGGCCGTTCAAGACCCGTAAGGAGAGCTTCCCTCTCCAGCGGCCTCAGCGGGGCCTGTGCTGGGAGGGAAAGCCCCCCCCCCCCCCGGGTCCTTCCCGGCTGACGCCCGCCTCCCCCGGGGCCGCCTGGAAGAGGCCGTGTAAACAGCAGCCGCCCCCGTCCAGCTGTCTGTCCAGCTGTCTCCCTTGGCTCTAAAGACCCTGAGGTTCGCTCCGGAAAGCCAGCGCGCCAGGCGCTGCACAGGCAGGAGCGTTAAAGAGGCTGAGACGCTGCTTTATGAGCCAGCCTGTCAGTGCGCGGTCGGCAAACTCAGTCCACAGAGCCAAGTGTCCACAGGACGACGATTGACATTTCTTTGGAGAGCCACAGGTTTTAAACGGAAACTACGTAGGTAGGGACATTGCTGTGAACGTAAGTAGAGTCCTCCTGAGCCGGCCTTTGCTAAACACTCGAGGGCCAAAGAGCCGCATGTGGCTCGCGAGCCGCGGTTTGCCGGCCGCTGACCTAGACTCTGGATTCCACTAATTGCAGGCTGTTCCTTTTGCTGAAGCCCCCATGGAAAGCCACCTGCATTATTCACGGGTACGCCTGGTAAACCAGTTTGTGGTAACATCTTTGGAATTGCGTCTGTTTAAACTTTTTTAGCCATTCCAAAGCAAAACTACAGAAAATTCACTAGCAGAGACGTCTCTTCAGGAGCAATCTGAAATGACCCGGGTGGTACCCAGTGACCCCCTCCCCCAAATATTTTCTTTTTTTCTCCCAAAAACAGCAGGAGCAATTTCCCATAAACCAGGGCCTCCTCCTGCTCAGCCATCAGCATTGGGGGTTCACGCTGACGCGTGTCTGCCGTCCAGGCCTCTGGCGGGATGGCCTTGTGGCCCGTTGTCCCAGGAACGCCCTCGGCAGGCGGCCAGAGGCCCCACCGACACCCCCTTCCTGGGAGAGGCGCCCTTTGCATGGAGTCTTCACCCCTCCCGGGCCCCCTCCTGGAACCTGTCCCAGACCCGAGCGCTTCAACACTTTGCTGAAGCGGCGGATACTAATGTCTGTAATCGGGGACCCTCCAGGCTGCAGAGACGCCCCCCGGAACGCAACCAGAACCAGGGACAGAGCCGAGGTGCCCCGGACCTCCGAACCCCAAGAGATGGGGCGCTAGGGGTGGATCAGACCCATGCAAATGCAGTGTGAACCCTAAGTTAATGCGGTGCTAACCCTGAGTTAACAGTTAACAGCCCACAGCCAAGCAGTCTTTCTCTCCCGGGCACAGCGATTGCACCTGTGTGCATCCGGGCGGTGTGGCTCATTGGTTGAACCGGAAGGTCTCTGATCTGATTCCTGGTTCAATGCCAGGTTGGGGCCGTCATGCCTGGTGTGGAGGTACAGGAGGCAGCCGATTCTCACCGCGGATGTGTGTTCCTGTCGCTAAAATAAATGAAAATGGGTTTTTTCAGAGAAAAACGCAGCGGTGGCTGTGCCAGCTTGCGGGGCTGAGGGTGGGGATGGCCTGTGATGTGAGGGGGCAGCGGCAGGAGGCCTGGGAGGAGGCACTTCAGGAGGCAGAGGAATGAGTGTCTCGGGAGGACCCTGTCCTGGGGCCGCCTGACCGTGGCTGCAGGGTCGCAGGCTGGGGGTGAGGCTTGGAGAGCAGAGTCCCTCCCGAAGGACCCGGAGCTTCCAGGGCCTGGTAAGTTCGCCTCCGATTCCCAAGCAAATGTTCTTCTTGTCTCTGTTCTTTGGAGCTTTGAGTGCAGAGGAGACCGTTAACACCACCGATGCCCTCCGGCCGGTGTGGCTCAGTGGTTGAGCTTCGACCTATGAAGCAGGAGGCCGTGCAGTTCCATTCCCGGGCAGGGCACAAGCCAGGTTGTGGGCTCCATCCCCAGAGAGGGCGTGCCGGAGGCAGCCCATGGAAGATTTTCTCTAGTCATTGCTGTTTCTCTCTGTATCTCTCTCCTTTACCCTCGGAGGTCCCTAACGTACTAGAAAAAAAAAAAAATTTGCCGCAGCCGGTTTGGTTCAGTGCATAGAGCGTGGGCCTGCGGACTGAGGGGTCCCGGGTCTGATTCCAGTCATGGGCATGTACCTCGGTTGCGGGCACATCCCCAGTTGGGGGGGTGCAGGAGGCGGCTGGTCCATGTTTCTCTCTCATCCATGTTCCTAGCTTTCTATCCCTCTCCCTTCCTCCCTGTAAGAAATCAATAAAATATATTTTATAAAAAACCAAAAAATAGACTTTCTTAAATCCCAGTAAGCATCATGGCAAGTGCACATATGTGGATGGATCTGTGTGCGATTGAATACAGATGCTATTTTGAATAACTTGTCTTCAAAACTTCATGTCATATTTTCTGAAGACGTTAACATCATAGATATTTTAACGCCTAAAAACGTGGAGTTTAATGCCCCAAAAAGGGAGCATGTGCGGGGAGTTTTAGTTCATCATTAATAACTGAATCTATGGGGGGGAAATCCCCGTTATTAATGGATAGACCTGCTAACACCGCTTTTGCGATGTTATGTCGCCGTCTTGTGGACACATCTGGTATTGCACCGTTCAAACTTTTTTTTCTTTTTCTTTTTTTTTTTTTTCTTTTTAAGCCATCCCAAAGCAAGAGCATAGTAAAGTGACAAGTACAGCACAGAGACCTCTCTTCACGAGCAATCAAATTCCCCGTGTGATGCCCTGTGACCTCGCAAACGTTATAATTTTTTTCTCGCAAATACCAGGGGCAATTTCCCATAAACCGGGGCCTCCTCCTGCACAGCCATCAGCATCGGGGGTTCACGCTGATGTGTCTGCCGTCCAGGCCTCTGGCGGGATGGCCATGTGGCCCGTTGTCCCAGGAACGCCCTCGGCAGGCGGCCAGAGGCCCCGCCGACACCCCCTTCCCGGGAGAGGCGCCCTTTGCATGGAGTCTTCACCCCTCCCGGGCCCCCTCCTGGGACCTGTCACAGGCCCGAGCGCTTTAACACTTTGCTGAAGCGGCGGATACTAATTCTGGAATCGGGGACCCTCCAGGCTGCAGAGACGCCCCCCGAGAACGCAACCAGAACCGGGGGACGTAGCCAAAGGGCCCTGGATCTCCAAGCCGCAAGAGAACGGGAGCCCGGCTCCTCCATTGCTCTGGCCTGGACGCCCCGCAGCTGGCTCTTTAAGCTGGCCTCAGCAATCAATGTTGCTTAGCGACAGGCGCAACGCACGCTGGGAAGTGTAGTGGCAGTGGACCCGGTGTTTGCCCGGAAGTGCGTCACGCTGTC